ATGATGACGTTGAGGTGAGACCGGCAGCAGAAAATGTCGTCTGTGCTGTTATTGCATTCGAGCTCGTGATACCAGCGACGCTCAACGTCCCAGAACTCGCAGTGATTGAGCCTGCAGAGATAGTGATAGATCCTGATGTTGTGAGACCGGCAGTGGCGAGGCTGGATGTTCCGGTTATTGCGCCCGTACTGGTGATCCCTGCAACAGTGAGTGTCCCTGCTGATGCTGTCATCGAGCCTGCAGCAATAGTGAATGATGCAGTTGATGTGAGGCCAGCGGTGATGATAGTTCCTTCGGCAACTATGTCGTTATCAATGATCAAGTTCCCACCTTGGACATGCACACCGCCTGAAGATACCCAAAGGCCACCTGCAGTTATGTTGATGCCAGCACTGGAGACAGTGATGCCTCCAATGACATCAAGGCCACCCTGGTCGATATATGTCCTTGGGAGGCCGTTGACACGAAAGACCGTTTCAGGAGTGTAAGCACTGTCTGCATCCATGATTGCTTCGATGAGGTTTATATCACGCGTGAAATCTGCGGAAGATTCGACGGAAAAAACAGTTCCATTATCCTTGTCACGGAAAGCATCATTATGGTACGCGCGGAGGACAGTCAAGTTGTTATTGCGGATCTCTGCTCCACCATCATAGATAGTAGCACCGTCCTCTATGATGTGGAGTCCACCCTGATTAATTGTGAAGCCAGCACCAGTGAGTTCAAGGCTGTGCACCGAAGTCACGTTGTTTACGTGTAGTTCGCCTTCAATCTTCGTGTAACCATCTCCACGAATGGAAAATACATTTACGTCGTAACTCCCATCTGTTACGTCGTAGGCTGTGTTAAAGCGCGCAAACCAATAATTGGCATCTTCAGACCGCACCGAGTCAACGCGCAGCAAGGCGTCCGTAAATGACTCTCCGTCACCAACAATGTGGAGGACTGGATCGTCGAGTGCAGTACTTGAAACTTGGAGCCCACCGTCTTCTATTTTCGCACCATCGGTCAGTATTGTGAGACCACCCGCTGAAACTGTTGCCCCATACGTGGTTACATCAATTTGTGCGATTGATAGCAGTCCATCGCCTCGGATACTTAGCAAATCCTCGTCATCTGCGATAATTTTCATGAAGGTGAAGTCAGATGCAGACGACTTGTCAGTACTCAGCTTAAACAGGTCTCCGACGTAATCATTTCCAGCAGCGTGAATGTCGACACCAGGGAGGGTGTTAGAACCAGACTCTGCATAACTTGATGCTGTACAAGTGGAACCTTCGTAGCCATCAATACAGTAGCACGTGCCCGAAGTAAAGTCACATTGTCCACGGCGTCCACAGTACTCATACTCTGTCACATCGTCGCTAACGAGATTGGTAATATTACATTCGACTGGGGCACCACTCGTCGAAGATGCGCCACTCACATCGCAGGTGAAATTTGTAAGACCGGGGTTGCCGGTGTGGCTGAAGAAATTATTTTCCATGGGCTCAATTGGCCATTGCTTGAAAGTGACATTGTAGATGGCGCCGCCAGCAAATGGCTCAGAAAGACAGTCAACGTCATCGACGTTGTCTAGGGCCTCCCAGGCCTCCTCACAAACAATCCCCGAGACACGTGATGCTGAGTGAGAAGTTGTATATCCCAAGAAGTGAAATATCACGAGTCCCTGGAGTCCACTGCCGTCAGCTGCTGCGACACCAATATTGAGGGCACGGAAGTTCTGGTTGATAGTCAGCGGGTCGTCCGCCTTCGCACACATGACTATGAGGGGAAAAAAATGCTACGATCGAGGATATCATACGACTCTGAGACGCGCTCCGGGAACAGTCGGGGCCACTGAAGCCAGGGTCGCAAAAGCAGCTGGTGACTGAGTCTTTGTCCCAATTTCCGTAGCTCGGTCCAACGCCGTCACCACCGACGCTCGGGTGGTCATAGTCGACGCCATAGAGCTGGCCGAGTCGACTCAGAGTCAAGCACATCCCGTTTGCATTGCAGTCGTTTGGGCAAGCCGCTAAGGTACCGCGCATGCGGGCGCGCGGTGTGTGCCGGGGGGGATGAGGGGGGGGGGTTGAGGGGAGGTAACCGATCAGTAGGAAACGCGCGAGTGTTCAAAGATGTCTCAGAGGCCCCACGACTTACAATATTTTCCGACGCGGCAAAATTCACATCGTTGGCAGGCGAGCCCAGTGTAGCCGTCAAAGCACTCACACTTGCCCGTATCGCGATTGCACAGACCGGCATTTGAACACTCCGCCATAGAGTGTGCGAGATCAACCGCATAAGCTTTATCGGCCCAGGCAATGCCCTTGGAGCATGTGCCTATGTATCATTGCTTCAGAAAGCAAGACAGGAGGAGGCGGGGAGAGCAGCGGAAACATCGCACGTAGCGAACAGTCCGGAGCATAATCAAAGCCGTCAAAGCAGCTACAGACGTTCTCGGCACCGCAGTCACCGTGACCACTGCACATGTTCGGGCATTGGGCGAGAGCCACTGGTAGTAATGCTAAAAGAATCGAGGCCGCGCTCAAGTTGCGTCGGAATGATGTCTTCGACCGAGGATATGATCTCACGTCGTTAGCCGAGTTTTCCCGCACAACGAGCTTTGCAGGGCGGCCACTAACACCCATAAGAGCCGCACCGGACTTTAAATATATCCGATGCATGTTAGAACAGTACAGGTAATCTTCGATTAGCCAGGAAAGTAGCGCCCAAAGGAGAGAGAGAGAATGAGCTGCTATTAATTATTGCAGCCCAATCGATACTCGCTCCTTATGCTCCTATCTGGCCGGCGTTGCTGAAGCAGCCCGCCGGCGGAATTCTTTCTGGAAGGCCCCCCCCCGGGGGGGGGGTAGTTAGAGAGTTTTCCCTAGTTAGAGAAATATGAGAGTATCCCTAGTAGTTAGGTCTCTTCTCTCTTCCCTCGTACTTTAATTCTCCACGGTGTTATGCTAAGGGGAGTTGCGGGGCTGAACCTAAAAAGGGAATTCCTCGTAGTCAGTATAGTGAACTTAAAAAAGGGAGAGTCTATCTGAATTGAGTACTTTCGTGATCTACCATCATCCCCATAATTTACAATACCCTGCTCCCTCATTGTCGCGACGTCACACTATGGAGATGACACTGCACTCCCCCGTAACGTTAACATCAACGTTCCTTATTACCCTAGTTTGGGGTATTTCTCCCTAGGAAGCGAATCCAAGATACAACAAGTGAAATTGTGTGACGACCATGTCTTTGCGCGCGGCTTTCATCTTTGCATTGATGCAGATCAGCACAGCGACCTCAGTTGTGCACGCGCGTCTCCGGTGAATTTTTCATTCGTGTCTTTCTTAATTATCGAAGACGAGTCTGAGCTTTAACGCACGATATAGACGCACAACATTGTGGAAGGGAAAATCCTAGCCGAGGAGTTGTTAGACTCAGCAATGATGACGATGCGGACAACGAAACTGGGCGAGGAGAGACTCGATAAACACCCTTCCCTCTACCAGCAATATCTTGCAAAGATCAAGGCGACTCGCCGACTCCGCACTGAATCATTCTCTGGGTCACGGAAAACCATGGAAGGAGTTCCGCCTACACACGAGCTTACTTCCGCGATGGGAATGACGATGCGATCGTATGCAGCTGCGGATGGTGAACGAATGGCGAAGGCAGTCTTATTGAAGCGTGCGGTCAAGAGCACCGCGTAGAGGCTTGAGGAAAGAAAGACGATTGACCACGGCCAAGCTCACACGTATTACCCCAGCCCCAGCCCCGATAATTATCTCGCACATGTGCGCACATGTGCACACACCAAACAAGCACACATGCGCAACGCATCCCTATTCCAGCAACCACCTGGGCAGCGAGCACGGCGCTATTCCGGCAATAGCAACGGCACCGTGACTACAAAAAGGCCGGCCCCATGTTCCCGGTCGAGAGCAATACCCCAAACTAGGGTAATAACGAACGTTGAAGTCCACGATAGGGGTGGGGTGCAGTGTCATCGCCATGTTGTGACGTCGCGAATGGTAGTGGAGCCTGCTGCGGCTCGATTTGAGATCGACCCCCCCAGCTCTTCGGCTCGAGGCGATTTGATCGAGATCACTTCACCGCCTCCGGGCGGCGCGCGGCGCCGCCGGCGACACGGTGCTCACCGCGCAATGCATGCCGCGTTCGGGCCGCGGCAACCTTGACAGGCCACTCGGGAGGGACATTCCAGGGGGTGTTTACTCGAGATGCCCGGGCCGCGGCCCGCTCGCCGAGCCCTGGAACTAAGTTGGGCCTCTCGTCGGTCGCCCCCCACCATTAACGGCCGTTCTCGTCATCCACGGGCTGCCCCGACGCGAACTAAGTTGCTCGCCTTCGACCGATGGTCTTTCCCGAGCGACTCGCAGCCGGGCCCGAGGCGCGGCAAGGTCCACAGAGGCACCCCGTGATGCTCCCCCGGACGCGGTGCACCGTTCACACAGAAGCGAGCTTTGAGCTTGCCGCTGCGCTGGGGCTGCCGGTCGCGCCTCTCCGGGGCGCGTCGGCGCACCCGGGGGCGCCGCGATGCCCGAGGGCTGCGGTGTGCTGTCCGCCGCGGCCCCGCCGGCGCGCGACTCGCGGTCGCGGCGCGCGGACGCCGTCGGGCGCTGGCGCTCCGAGCTTTCGGGACTGGGTGTCCCGGGGGGCTAGGAGTCTGACGTGCTGCAGGTAGCCCCGTTACACGGGGGGCAGTGATAGCACGGTGGAACAACCCATAACCCGTAGGAGGTGGCACACTGGGTGTTACCCTAGTGGGGCTAGCCTAGGGGTCTCTGCTGTCGGCGCCTTCGGCGTCTCCTTTTTTCTTTTTTCTTTTTTCTTTTTTCTTTTTTTTTCTCCTCGCGGCTGGCCCGACTGAAAACAGTGACCCCAGCTGGCTTATCGCCAAGCGCACTTTGATTGTGCTTAATCACACTCGCGTACTGACCGCGATAGTCGCCGTTTATCAGGGGGGGGGGGCTTCACATGCCAGCTTGTCTTCGTATATTATAATAACCTCGCAGGCAGTTTGTCTGTGCGGCACCGCGCCCGAGTCGTGCGGCGCCGTGCCCCAATCTATCTAGTGTAGCCTCCCTCTTAAGTGCGCTGTAACACCCATTTAGACTGCCCTTTACCTATTCCTACCAATCTCATCATCACCCTACGCAACTGTGACATATCTGACTTCCAGGTGATACAACCACACGCGTTAATAAGCGCGGTCCGGGATGCACGCGATCGATGACCTTGATTTGACGCGACGGTTGTCGCAGATTCAAAAGCAGAACATCGAATGGTCACGTGCTCGAGAGAACAAGCGGGCACACCCGTTGACTGCGGTAGCACACACGTTAGAGCGGGAGCGTGCGAAACGATTCAACGAGCTCGTGCCCTCTACTGTGCAGCCTCGTCCCTGCGAAACTAATGGGCTCAGTTTGTAGGTGGCGATGTTGGGGAAGATTTCGATCTTTGAGCGTCTTGGTGAGGAGAAATGGCGGCAAGCTGTGGGCCAGCTTCTGCCGGTGCAGGCCGAGGCAGGAAGCCACGCACCGTGCATAATAACCTGTGGCGACAATCTGATAGAGGCGTGCCGATCGCGTAGGTCTCATTTGCGCCGAGGGAGACTTTGGTGAATGCATGTATGTGATGACAGGCGGTGAAGTGGTGATTATCCGTGGCGAGACAGCTAAATCCAAGGGTGTGGAGCTTGTACGGCTGCATCCACCTACTTATTTTGGGGAGTCTTCTTTGCTGACTGGTGAATTAAGAAAAGCGACGGTTCGCGCGGGAGCAGCAGGCGCATCGCTATTGCGTTTGAGCCGCCAGGCGTTCTTGACACTAGGTGCAAATGCGGCTGATGCAGATGCAATCAAGAGAGCACGCGAGGCTGTGACAGGATGTCTTCTTTTTTGCAGTCTGCGGGTCCAGCAGCAACAACAGATATTCAGGCGGATGAAGCCTGTGTCTTTCCGCCCGGGGGAGTTTATCGTGAATGAGGGAGAGACCGGGCAGAACGTATATGTAATTGTTGAGGGCCAATGTGCCATCGTCTCAGATGACACTGCGCAGCTGAAAGACCTGGGAACCTCGAGCTGTTTTGGCGAGAAGGCACTCTATAAGAAGCCAAATCAGCACAGTATCATTGCAAGATCTTCAGTATCATGTATGAAGCTTGCTAGCTGTGACTTCCACCCAGATTTCACTCACCTCTTGCGAAAGATGATGCCAAATATGAATTCTAAAGCACGACGCGCGTCGACGGAGAAGGAGCAAGAAGTAAAAGACCAGAGCTCAAGCGCAGTGGCCAGCTTTGGATGGCATGGGTCTCTTACATGGCGCCAACGCCTTGTAGCGCTCGGTCGTACGATCATACGAACTTTGCGAAACACGGTCTATTCACGCCTCTATAACGATGTCATCGCTTGTGATCCCGAAGATCCTGAATTAGGGAGGCTTGTAGATTCTCTTTCTCGCCTTGATGAGAAAGCTGGTCTAGCGTACATTTCTGAGCAGGGAGCAAAGGTGCTGAATAAGCTTCCTTATCGTAGATCAGCCCTAGATATGTCTGTGATTGGTGGTCTTGTGGCACGTTCTTGGTGCTTTCACACGGACTACTGCAAAGATTGGCCAGCAACTCAACTTTCAGGCCTGTATCGAACACTACGATTCGAGCGCGTCTTGCCACTAGAGTTCATTTACGAACAAGGAGCCGAGGCATACCGCGCGTACATTCTCATGTCTGGTTTCGTGCGACTTCGGCGCTGGGTCCTTGTCAATGCCCAGGGCGTGCAGGAGGAACTAGCGTTTGGGTCAGCTGGATTCGACCTCCTGGAGGATGATGCAATAGAGGTAGATGTGATCACCCTAGGCCCTGGCGACACCTTCGGCCGAGAGGCGCTCCCCCCGCCACTGTCATCTAGCGTGGCGCGCCCACGTCGCCACTCTTGTATTACGGGTGCAACTGCTGAAGTCATCGTTGTCGACCATAACGACTTCCAGCGCGCGCGTGATCAAGGATGCAGAGAGATGACATTTGAGCAGAAGGTCCAGTGCTTGCGTCGTGCTGCAATGCTCAAGCACTGGGACCTTTACCGTCTCCATCGCCTCGCTTATGCAATGCAAGAGCGACACTACCCTAAGGACAAAGCACTTGCAACTGAGGGTACTACCAAGGATACTCTCGTATGCATAGTGTCTGGCACTGCTATTTTACACATCGCCAGTGACTCCAGTGCGGCTCGCGTCGCTGCTGCTCAAGCGGCCGCTGTCAATAACGAGACCCCCACTCGAGGCCTGCCGCGTATTCTTTCGGGTGCTCTTGGTGCCGTTCTGACGGCACCCCAGCTTTTTGGTCGCCACCCAATTAAACTTCTGACAGTTGGTGATGGTGACTATTTCGGTGACTCAGGTCTAATCAACTATCTTTCACCAGCAAAGAAGCGCGCCGAGGGGCTCGTCGTAGAGCTCTGCTCGACTGTAGTCGTCTCTGCTGAGCTTATCTCACTTGAGCTCCCGACCTCAGAATTCGCGCTCTTCGACGAGCGCGATCTTCGCATCCTCCTCGAGAATCGACGCCTCCGTCAACAATGGCGCTCGAAGCGTCTAGCAGCTCTTGCCAGGACTGCATCTGACCGGGTTTGCCTGCAAGGAACAGAGCCACGCGCCCTCTGGGAACACAATTCCCCTGCGCTTCCAAGGGCGAAGTCTGTTCCTCTAATCGCCGAAGCAAGCCAAAGTGGCGTATTCCCCCAAGCTCTCGTCCAGCGACCAGAGGAGGAAACGGGAGAGGACCATCCGACAAATGGCAATGAACTAAATCGCAAACCAACCCCAAAAGCGCAGCCTCAGATTTACAGGGAGCCAGCCACCCCCGCCCCTGTCATGATATCTCGCTGTGGACTTGCGCACAGCATGGTTGAGGGCGTTGATCCAGGCGGGAGGAGCACCGAGCAAGCGCTGCTAGCAGCGAATAAAATATCAATTTACTCTCAATCTGTGCATGTAGGTAGATATCATTGGCCTTGGCCAGTCAAAACCAGCGTCTACAGGCTTAAGGCGACCTTATAGTGCAGATATGTCGGAGCAGAGGCGCCAGGCGCTGACTGCTTCAAGCATCAATGAAGAAGCAGCGCCCATCCCCAACCTGAAAGACATTGTCGGCTTCACAGCCCCGAGAGACTTGGAAGATGCAAACTACACACATTCTCTTCCGATCTCACCCGACGGGCCCCTAAATATGGTCCTTGCACGTTACCAGAAGGCTCTTCCTCGTGTTGCCGGACACACCCTGACGAATTCCACCTCAATTGACCTGCCCAAGCATTGGTTTGGACCTAACACGCGTACTGCTTGATTCTGAGCGCCGTGGCAAGATGCCAAGGCGGAGTCTACCTGAAGATTGTCACCCTTCCTTGCCGAGGTTGCAGGGTTCCATCGAGAGCTAGGTCCTACATGGGCCATGCTTCCCAATTCCATTGGCTTCAGTCTCTGCCTAGGATTGGCGCGTACTTTGCCAATGCCCTTTAAGAGGACAAAACCCACCACAGCAAGTACGTCTTTAAAAGCCCACCATGCTTGTGGCCAGCTTCGCTGACGCTCTCGAGAATAGTTTTCTTAACCCGAAGCTCTGTTGCAAATGAGTCAAGCGAAGATGCACATAGCCTACGCTTGCTAGACACTCTGCCGCGAGAAATGAGCTCCCGTCTGACCAAAATTGGATAAAAGCTGATCTCCTGATTATCTCTTTGTTTTCAAGTTTCCCGGCGATAAATGGCCAGCTGAGAACTTGCTCTATACAAACGATATCCGTCGGAGTTGATATCTTCTACGAATCGACTCTGCATTCGCCATATAGACTTGTACAAAGAGACATGTCGAAATCCTAGCTACGGCGCTTCTAGCCTCTGCAACAATCCATCAGAAGCAGGCTGTGCGCTTGTCTGCCCTCCTCAGCAAGGATGCGCTTCGACCCATGGACACCGGAAGGCAAGCAGTTAGTTTAATATTTCAAACAACAAAGCAAGAGACTACTTACTTGTCTCGCTAAGATACTGCGCTGTTCCCCTTCCCAGCTGAGCTTGTGGAACCCACAACTGGGGTCTAAGAATGCTGCGCACCTGGCGTCACTGCGACGTTGCTACTAGTACCAGCAGCCTCGCCTATACTGGAGTAGCCTAGCATAAACCAGCGCCACCAAAAAAACCCAAGCATCGCGCTCCGAGGGCGACAAGGTAAAAAATAAACGAGCTCGCTGTGCCGGTAGGCGCGCCGGCACAGAGGCGGCCTCCCCGGGGTGTGCCGGCACAGTCGAATCCGGCTTGTACCGGCAAATTCCGGTGTGCCGGCACACCGCGCGCGGTCCGCGGAAACGCGTCTATGCAAGTTAGGAGCTATAAGGCAGCTAGTTGGAAGCTAGTTAGTTCTTCTGCGCGGGGCCCCCGTTTTGCGCGACTCCTAGTAATCCTCTTTTTATCATCCCGGGCCGCTTTGTTTGTGGTGCGTCACGAGCCGCCCACGGACAAAAGATTCCGAGTCGAACGTCATGACGAGGTGGGTGGGTGGGTCCGGAGGCCTGATTTGGAAAATCTACAGTGTACTGGTGGGTACTTGTAACGCCCCGGTGAACCTCTGAGGCACCAGGGGGTGGGGAAGGGCGCTGCGACGCGCCGCGGCGGCGGGTTGTCGAGGATCTCGCTTTAGCGCGCGTGCGACGGCCGCGTGTCGCGCCCGCGCGGGACCGCGCAGCGCGTTACGACGGTCGGCACGCGTTCGGGGGCGCCCCCGCGCTCGCGCACGCCCCGGGTGGGCCCCCGGGGACCCCCTGGACCATCCGCGGCCCACAGCGCGTGGAAAAAAAAAAATCCGCGGCCCACAGCGCGTTTAAAAAACAACGAAAAAAAAAAGTGCTCATAGCTCGAGAGGTCAAAATTAACCGGACCGGATCAGTCACAGCTCGATCGGCTCAGTGGTGCGCTGGACACTGGCAATTGCGAGCTGAGGGGGGTCCTGCAGTCTTGGGTGCGTGTTCATTTGTAATACCATTTTGCTAGAGTAGTAATGCGGCACCCGTGCCGCGCCCCGCGTCCTGTTCCAGCGTCCCCTTGCGGTTTGGCGGTCTGAGAGCGCGCGGCCATTGGCGAAGTCATAAAGAAGGTTGTCTCTAAGCTTGCAAAGAGTCTCGCCACACGCCGACGGGACAAGACTTAGACTTATATTTGATGTCCGCGATCAAATCGCCCGCTCGCGAGGCTACGATCAAATCCTTCCGAGCCAGGTCCATCAAGGTGCAGTGGAACGGTGAGGCGCCTCTGGTTGAGGGCCTGCGGGAGATTTTTGGGGTTTTCGGGATAGTTTCAACAGTCCGCGTCAAGGAACGCACAGCACTTGTTCTTTACAAGGAAGCGGTTAGTGTGGAGACCGCGCTCCGTGATTACCGTGGATCCTTGAGCGTGTCTGCCATCATCGATGGGCCTACATCCCGTCCAGGCTCTCGATCCAGCTCACGGCCGAGCACACCCACAACTGGAGCCAATAAGGACGTCTTCGAGGTTGGAAAACCTAGGCTCGATCAGTCTGTCCGTGATGATCGCGCAGGAAACTGTTCGCAGCGCCAGCACACAGCTCCAACGACAGCACGTGAGAACACGACAGTATCAGAGCTGCCGTCATTATCGGTAGTATTGACACCGGATCACGGTATGGTAACTGACACTATTCAACGCCAAGGCTGTAACTTGAACTACCAGCAGCCGCACATGTTGCTGACACTGAAGCCACCAGAGCCCCATCGTACCCCTCAGACCCATCGCGATTCAGACTATGCTGCGTTCTGTGAAAGTTCTGATATGCAAGCAAGTAGCAAGCAACGGGCATTTTGCCTACCCGGGGGTCTGGAATTAGATCCGAAATTCAGTACAAAAGGTCGTCCAGGTCAGCATAGAAATGGCGAAACCAACCTCGAGTCGATGCGTGGAAATTCAACAATCTTAAGTGGCGAACCTTTTTTCGATAGAATTGCTCGACCCCCCAGCAATGAACAAGACATGGCAAGACCCGAAGTAGACGGCAAACCGCATCTAACTATTCCGAGTACTATGCAGGCAGGTTCACAGGAAACACTTTCCAAAAAACCTCAAAAAGCTCTTGTGAACGTAGAGCGTACTTCGTCAAAATTCTCATCGAGGGAGCCTCGTTTCAGCGGATTGCCATTCTGTCAAGCCAGCCAGCCGGAAAGCAGGGCCGGCCAAGCCGGTGGGTCCGAGCAGGCAGCTTTCAGCGGAGCGCCGTTCGGCCAAGCCGGCGGGTCCGAGCAGGAGGGTTGCAGCGGAGCGCCGTTCAGCCACGCCGGCGGGTCAGAGCAGGAGCAGGGATCCTCAGCGGAGCGCCGTTCAGCCAAGCCGGCGGGTCAGGGCAGGAGGGATTCAGCGGAGCGCCGTTCAGCCAAGCCGGCGGGTCAGGGCAGGAGGGATTCAGCGGAGCGCCGGTCAGCCAAGCCGGCGGGTCAGAACAGGAGGGATTCAGCGGAGCGCCGTTCAGCCACGCCGGCGGGTCCGAGCAGGAGGGTTGCAGCGGAGCGCCGTTCAGCCACGCCGGCGGGTCAGAGCAGGAGGGATTCAGCGGAGCGCCGTTCGGGCAAGCCGGCGGGTCAGGGCAGGAGGGATTCAGCGGAGCGCCGTTCAGCCAAGCCGGCGGGTCAGGGCAGGAGGGATTCAGCGGAGCGCCGGTCAGCCAAGCCGGCGGGTCAGAACAGGAGGGATTCAGCGGAGCGCCGTTCAGCCAAGCCGGCGGGTCCGAGCAGGAGCAGCGTTTGGGCGAAGCGCCGTTCGGCCAAGCCGGCGGGTCCGAGCAGGAGGGATTCAGCGGAGCGCAGGTCGGCCACACCGGCGGGTCCGAGCAGGAGGCATTCAGCGGAGCGCCGTTCGGCCAAGCCGGCGGGTCCGAGCAGGAGGGATTCAGCGGAGCGCCGTTCGACCAAGCTGGCGGGTCCGAGCAGGAGGCATTCAGCGGAGCGCCGTTCGGGCAAGCTGGCGGGTCCGAGCAGGTGGCATTTTGTGGAGCGTCGTTCGGGCAAGCCGGTGGCTCAGAGAAGGAAGCCTTCAGCGGAGCGCCGTTCGGGCAGGCCGGCGGGTCCGAGCAGGAGGCCTCCAGCGGAGCGCCGTTCGGGCAAGCCGGTGGCTCAGAGCAGGATCAGCGTTTGAGCGGAGCGCCGTCTGGCCAAGCGGGTGGGTCCGAGCAGGCGGCATTTAGTGGAGTGCCGTTCGGGCAAGCCGGTGGCTCAGAGCAGGAGGCCTTCAGCGGAGCGCCGTTCGGGCAAGCTGGCGGGTCCGAGCAGGAGGCCTTCAGCGGAGCGGAGTTTGGCCAAGTTGGCAGGTCCGGGCAGGAGGCCTTCAGCGGAGCGCCGTTCGGGCAAGCCGGCGGGTCCGAGCAGGCGGCATTTAGTGGAGCGCCGTTCGGGCAAGCTGGTGGCTCAGAGCAGGAGGCCTTCAGCGGAGCGCCGTTCGGGCAAGCTGGCGGGTCCGAGCAGGTGGCATTTAGTGGAGCGTCGTTCGGGCAAGCCGGTGGCTCAGAGCAGGAAGCCTTCAGCGGAGCGCCGTTCGGGCAAGCCGGCGGGTCCGAGCAGGAGGCTTTCAGCGGAGCGGAGTTTGGCCAAGTTGGCAGGTCCGGGCAGGAGGCCTTCAGCGGAGCGCCGTTCGGGCAAGCCGGCGGGTCCGAGCAGGCGGCATTTAGTGGAGCGCCGTTCGGGCAAGCTGGTGGCTCAGAGCAGGAGGCCTTCAGCGGAGCGCCGTTCGGGCAAGCTGGCGGGTCCGAGCAGGTGGCATTTAGTGGAGCGTCGTTCGGGCAAGCCGGTGGCTCAGAGCAGGAAGCCTTCAGCGGAGCGCCGTTCGGGCAAGCCGGCGGGTCCGAGCAGGAGGCTTTCAGCGGAGCGGAGTTTGGCCA